TTTCAAAAAAATTTTCTGAACATTGGCATAATAACACTTCTGAGGAGAGTACGTTGTTGTCGATTTCTTGGATGCAAAGCATCAGCAGTAAGCTCTAACGCGAACAAAGTTTTAATTTGAAACTTTGATCTAAGTGCAAAAGCTCTGAAAGCATCTTCGCACTCAAATTGTACTATTAAATACAGTGTTAAAACGTCTGGATATGTGTTCCCCGTAGATTACTAATTCGAATATGGAGAGTAAAAATATTTATTGTTCAGAAATATAATAATTTAATGATATTTTTTTTATATCTCCAGTCCACCTTATATATAATATTATTTTAAGTAACTAAGTTTTATGAAAATAAATAGCATCAAAATGCGTATTTATTGCCGCATTTCTTAACTTATTGCTTTATTTCTTAACGCATTTACTGTGTAATTAACTTTGTTTTTTTTTTAACCTGAATTTTATTCGTTAGAATGTATTCCAAAACTGGTTTCTTGATTAATATAATTAATACTAAATTCATCTGCAAAATTTTACCTATGGTATAATAACACATATGACTCTTGAAATAAAAGTTATATAAAATAAGTAATTTATACAAGTTTATTTTAAAAAAAAATGATAATGGTTTTATATTAAAATTTTTGTATTTATTTCATTTGTATTTTTAAGTTACCCCATCATAAATATAGAGTGACTTGCATCGAAGCACCGATTTTTTTTTATGAGAATAATAATAAAAAAGTAATGTTGCTTACTTTATTATTTGCACATTTATTTTACGAGATATACTAAACTGATGATTTTGACTAAATTAAAAGAAACTTAATGGAATGTATGCAAATTTCAACCTTTGCGCGGTTGTTTTTTAGCGTTATATCTATATCAACAAAACTATAATTATATATATTTTTATTAGTTAGAATGCCAGATACGCATATAAGAAGTATTTTTATTTCTATTTTATTTATATATTAAATGGTTCAATTTCAAATATTTTTTTTGTAAGTTTCAAGACTTTATTATTTCGACATTTTTTGGAAAAATTGAATGATTGTTTAGTATATTTGTATGAAGAACTGCTGGCTGATTTTGGATGGTTAAAAAATATTAATTACGAAAAACGATACACACTCTAATACAACAGTCTATTAGATTTTGGTAAAGGTAGAGCACCCGTGTTGGAGTTAAAGTGGAAAAGTCGAAAACAGCCTTTTCGGGGCAAAATTGAGCATTTGACTTAATCATATTAAATTATTATTATTTATTAATATTCATTTCCATTTTTTAAATAAATACTTTGTGATAATATTTAGAATTATCAAAATTCTTATAACATTCTATCTTCATAAACATTATTAGTGTTCGAGCAAAACTTTTCAATTTGGTTCAGGGATACAAAAATATTTGTTTAGATTTACATTTATTTAGCGTTTATTATTAATATATCTAATGGAAACTTTGTTTGAATATAAAATTAAAAACAACAATGAAAAGACGATTTTAAATATCACACTATATGGCTTTAGATTTCAAAACAATAAATTTTAAACAATAAATAGTTATTCCAACTCTGCTAATACATATTTCTGACGAAATACCAGAACAGTGTTATACAGTGTTATCTTTGTCAAAAATGTAATGTGCTTATTGAATTTATTTTTTTCATTGGTTGAGTATTGTAGCTATTGTTTTGTAAAATCTCTTTAAAATTAAAAATAAGGTATTGGATCTATTTGCCTCCTGGCTGTTTCATTTTCTCCGATGACAATTTTTTTTAAAAACAGCAAAGAGAATGCATTTCTATAATGATGATTTAGTTGGGAGTTTTACTGAATTTAGTCTGATAGTTTTTTCTGACTAAATTCTGATATGTGTCGCATGTTCTGATGTAATTGATTTGGTTTTCACGATGTAATAGCTCAAAATCAAATTGGACCTTTGTTCCCCGCCCTACTCTATATATAACGTTTTAATAATTAGCTTTACGGCTTAAAGCTTAATATTTGAGTTACCACTTCATCTCACGTAATCTAGTCTTTATAACTATATTACAAATCAGATACAAATAATGTAAATTAATGAAAATGTTATTATTTTGCATTTTTAGTGCTAAGGATCTTGAGTTCAACCCACAATAATATTCATAATTTACTTTTGTATATAAAGATTTTTTTATTTGTTTGAACATCGGTCAGAAGTTTAGGGGTCTATGAGCTGTTGTTATGAATTAAATACTTACAAAGTACTTCGGTTTTTTATAGATTACAACCCAAACAGTTGTCCGATCTCTGTGTTTAGAATTTTATTATTACATTTTCTGTAATAGTGGTAAGTTTTTATTGATACAGCTATGCCGCGTAAATGCAATTTTATTTTGGAAATATATTGCTGACTATAATTCCAAGTGAAAATCGATGTCACTACTGTTTGACATCAAGCTGCTCGAAGCAAGTATCGAACCTGGAATCTCTGATGCATATGACGCCTTTCTAGCTATGTATATAAAGAATGATCACGCTTTTATTTACTTCGTTACTTGTCATATGCCATTTAGCCAATGGCAGCGTAACAATGCTAGTGCGGTTCACTATCAACCCCTATCTTCCTCACAAGAAGTTATAAAACTATAACACAATAAATGAAATTTTTATTTTCAACCCAATTAAGAAATCAGTTTTAATTTTCAATAGCATACATAAAAAAGAGTATCAGTGTAGAAATAAAAATACAGTTCGTATCAAGTGCGAGTCCCCTCGCTCACGGCTTATTGCATAATGAAATGATTCTGTGAGAACATTAGCAGCCGCTCGCTTCGGAGCTAAAGAGAGAAAAATGTATTAGTTAGCACAGAGAATAAGAAATCCAGCCAGAACGCTACCAATTCAATCCGTAGCGCTCTATTGATTACGGACTACTTTTGCCTACTTTTTTCTTCTCCGCATTATGAAGGGGTATCGTTAAGTCTCACTTCTAATTCTTTAATGCCCTCATTTACTTTTTTGCAGAATTGAGATTCTCAAGCCATTTACTGAAATCTTTTTTTATCTAGCAGAATAATTTTAGGCCCAAAAATATTGTGGGGTGTGGAGGAATCGTTGCAAGCAGTTAATTCTCAAATGAAGCGTAATTTATTATTTTGATTTCATTGAATTTAACTATTTGCACGATTCGGTTATATTGCGAGACTTCTACATTTTTGTTCATTTACAAATTTTAATTCAAAATTAATTTTTTAGGTAATGGTTTTGGTTTTTTGACATGTCTTATGGCTAATACTAATTAAAATATGATATTTGATATAGATTTTATTTTTCCTATACCAAAAAATTGTTATAATCATTGACCTTTTAATGAATGGACCTAACCGATCATTTGGCGACAATACTGCCTTCATTTATTATTTACATATCCTTTTATATCACATCAATTTAGTCAAAATTCTACATCATTATGGTTTCTATATACATATTCAATTACAAGTATATTATAATTATGATTCAAAAGTTATAGTATTTTCAATCCGTTCCCCGATTGGAGTTCAATCCTAACTTCAACCAGTTTCAATCTCCATGTTATTTCTATCAGCTCTATATTCAGTAGAGGAGACTTGGTACGGTTGTGGCACTTTTTTCATCAGCCATAATTTTGTTAGTTTACCAGTTAGCTGGGGCTAAAGTAAATTATATAGTAATTTGAACATTTATATTTGTGGAAATACTGAAATATTGTCCTTATATACGATGGATTAGTTATAAAATCAAATTACACAAGAAAAGGGTGAGTGTCACAAACGTCCACACCCTGATGTTTGAAAAACATCATTATGACTGAGCTAAATTATCTGAACTGAACTACTAATGTTCAACTTATCAGCAAAATAATAAAGTGATTTATCTGTATAGAATTAACTGTTATTAATAAAAGAATTTGAACATGAAAACTTTTATCTCTATAACAGCAATACGGTGTACATATGATGTTAATGTAAGACACTGACAGAAAGCAATAATGGGAACTTGTTCGAACAATCATACTTTATCTTTCTCTTTTTGGACTCTCAAAATCAGTATAGTTTAGCTGTTACGACGACTGTTGCTACCGTACCTTGGCACAACCGTACCCAGTCTCTCTTCTTATAATTTAGTAGCCGCAAATTTTGAATTTACTTCTTCCAAAAACATTTATAAACAAATTAAGAATATAAGAATATCTATCACAATGCATTTTATAACTTTGTCAGAAAAGTATAAGCCATGATAAAAAATCCTTTTGTTGCATATAGTCTCTAATTACTATTGTGCCTTGTACGAATTGTAATGAATATATACTTTGTTGGATTAAATATTAGATTATATGTATATATATATATATATATATATATATATATATATATAGATATATAATATTATGATAAATAAATAGAAATACTTATTTCATACATATCCATGAAATGTTTGGAGTGATAATTTTTTAATTTTGCACTGGTTGTTCAGATTTTCAATATAAGACATAATATATCTATGACACATTCTTCCTACTCGCAAATCAAAGCGCGTATTGAGTTACGATACAAAGAATATTTTCAAACATATTCATGTTTCAATCAGGATTTATTACCGACGTGTCTCCATTTTCGAATCGGTCACCTACCTTCCGATATTCAGTTCGTGTGGCGTCCAATCCCTTTCGGATCTACAAAGGATTCGATCTTCTCGCTGACGGTAATCCCAATATCATTGCTTCTGATATATTCCTTTGGCGTAACAATAAGGCGATGAGCTGCCAGAGATAGCAAGGGGGCCGCCAGACACTTCCTGAAATATGTAATTGTATTTAATTCGATAGTAATATTAGAGATGAGATCAATTTTGCGATGGCATTTTGTCTGAAATATTCAGCAGCAGAGTTGGAATAACTATTTAATTTATTTCTCGTAAAATTGCTTTTTTTAACTTGATATACTTTTTTATATACTATTTTTTATTGTTTACTCTTTTGCCAGGAAAATGGCTCAGTTGGTTCTTTTAACTCCATCTACGTGTAAGCTTTTATAGAGATTATATAAAAAAAACGATTGAATCTTACTTAAATTAGCTATACATCTTATAAAACTATTGAATAATGTATAGCTAAGAATATTATTCAGGTGAATATAACAGCTTACAACAGTGAACTAAATAACAGTACTACCAAAAAACATTGAAATAAAATACTCTGTTATGGATTTTTAAACATTGCTGTTTATCTCCCGATACCAACGTCGTGAGGTGATGGCTGGTTATACATATTTTTCCCTTTACTTCCCTTTTTATCAAATATTGTGATTAAAAAATTCTTAAGTTTATTTATTTTTCAGATATCGGTAGTAGACCTTTTCATCCGCGGACTCTTAAGCCCCACTCTACCCTGTAATAATTGGCAGTTTAAAATGTAAATGCTTGTCAATTTATGATTTGGAAGTTTTTATATTTTGATTAATGAATTTGACTAATTTATCAAATATTGCATATGGATGTGATTATTTTATAAAAAACGAAATAATTAAGGAACTATCTACTATAAGAATTTTATTTTGTACTTTAATCTCAATTGCATAAATCTGCACATTTTTGTTTAATCATGTGTTTGGATTTGTACGGAAATTTTGTAGATATAATTAATTGAATGACGGATAATAAGCCTTATGAAATGCGACTATTCATATGAAGATAGAAATTGTTCTTGTATGATTACTATTACTATACTATTATTTTTTTGTTAGCTGATTTGTGAACCTGCACAGTAAATTTGTAATTGGACAATATCTCCGCATAAGAAATAAATATATATATAATTCAGCGAAGGATTGAGATTTGCTATGCAAACAAACTGTTTTTTTTAACTTCCCGTAGGGTAGTTATAGTAATAGGGCCGAAAATCGAAAATAAATTTTTTTGCATTTGTCGACGTTTTGAAGGTTTCTGAACATTTTGTCATACCTCATAAAAAATGGATGTGTGTGTGTGTTTTGTATGTCCGCATTTTTTCGTCCACGTTTTCGGGCGCACGGATCAACCGATTTGAATGGTTTAAAAACATTCGATTCCTATTAATAGGGAGATGTGCTGATTAGTTTTTGGCAAAGGCAGGTCCAGCCGTTACGGAGATATGGAGCAAAGAGTGCAGAAATTAGAAATCGAGTTTTTGAGAGAACGGATCATCCGATTTGTATCATCCAAAAAACATTCAGTTCGTAATGACGAAGAAAAGTGGTTATTAGTTTTTGGCCGTTTCGGAGATACAGAGATAAATGTTAAAAAAACTGCAGTTTTTGAGAGAACTAAGCGTCCGATTTAAATGATTCAAAGAACTTTCTGCTTGTTTCAACAAAATAATTGCTTTTGGAAAAAGAATTTTGTTTCTAATTTTTTTTTTCAAAAAATATTTTTGTAATTTTGAATTAAAAATTCAAAAAATTAGCTAATTAAAAATAATGTTCTGGAGATGAATTGATTTATGATTTACATTTGATTTGCTCAGATATGACAAAATAGCAAAAATAATGAAAGTTACAGTATTTGTAATAATATATTTGAAAACGTTTAAAATTTCTCGAATATTTCATTACGGTACAGGAAGTTTCAGCAGTTTGCTTTAAGGCACGATGCCATACACCACTAGTTATATTTTATATAGATGTAAAGTTAGTTAGGCTTGTGTTTTGTATATTTATAGTCAATGCTTCCGATCCTATGGCATATGACCAGAAGTCACTGTAGTAGAATATTAGCAAGAATGTTACAATTTATTTATAACGTGTTGATTCGAACAGAATTTGCATTTGAAGTGTTTGATAATGTGCACCAGCTCTTTCGCTTTAGGTTTCCTTCGGCGCAACAATGAGACGTCGAGCAGCCGGACTATGGTCGGTATATTCCCCTATCAAAACGCCGGAATATAATGCACACAAAAGCGGTACATATCGGATTAGGCTATTTATCTAGTGGAGTGACTGTATATCATGTTATCACACACCCGTTTTCCGTTTTCCGCTTTCCTTTTGTCCGAACCAACAACGTCTTAAATCGATATAGAGAGCTCTTATCGGATGTATTTGCTTTAAATTTTACTAGGAGGATGGGTTGCAACTGACGACGGATTTGATTTGTGTCCTACTATTCAAATTATTTTATTGATCAATAATAATTAACACAGTTTTTCAATTTTTAAAACTGAATGTTTTTAATTTTCAACAGTCACGCGAAATAACTATTTTTACTAAACTATTTAACGTTGATTTCAGTTGCATATTGAATTAAAACTAAGTGGATACTGAATTCTAAATATAAGGAAATGGTCCAGTCTACAGTTCGCAAAATTAATTTTAAATTCAACTGAATCATTTTGAAAAGATATTTAGATTTTCCAAATCTATCTGATATATTTTGAGTAAAGGAGTTTTTAAGAGGATAATTTTTACATATCTAAATTGTATTATCAAAACGATTTCTGTTAATAAAGAAGAAACAGCTTGCCCGATCTTTACCAGAAGCTAAATAATGCAATTATCTAGTATTACTATTGGTTTTTTAATAATTTTTTCAAATCGTTAACTATTTTTTGATTATTTGACTATTATGCTTTGCTTACCATTTTTTTTTAACCTTTGATTTCATAAAAACTGCTCAATTGTTAATAATGTACAATAAATGAAAGTGAGATAATATAGAAAACCAAACCAATTATATCACAACAAATAACAAATATCAAACAAACCACTATTTGACTATGTTCAGTAAAACTCTCATCTATTTTTTATTCTAGAAATTCGTTTTTTTTGTTGTTTTTTAATAATTTGTGACCTGGTATTTTTGACCCCATCGGCGGACGGCCAGGGGGAAAACAGGTCCAATATCTTTTTTGAATTTTACCTTTAAGTTTAAGTTTAAAAAATAATAACTACTTGCAATCAGTGCAAAATATAAATTTCATGTTTGCATTTTTTACAGAGATAGCTGTGTAACACTAACTTTTTTTGAAATTGTTTTTTTTTAACTTGATTAACTTTTTAGGAGAAGTTTATGCTTTCGCAAAAAATCAGATTTTATTTTATTTTATTTTGCGATTTTAATCAGAATCTATGCCAGTACGTTCTGCCTTTCATACTCTTCTTTTTTCTATGCTGAAAATGCACATAATAATGAAAAAGAAACACATAAATTTAAAACTGAAGGTACTGATCAATACCTTCCAGCCAATTCGCAGTGGCCAGTTTGAACTGGCTCATAGAAAGATTGAGAGAAGATTCTAGAGAAAGAAAACTCTCTCTAGAAAATAAGCTCATATTATACAAAGTGATAATAATATCCTTATGGACATATAGAAATGTGATAGAGCTATGGGGCTGTGCCAGCAAGAGCAACATTCTTATAATTCAGAGAGCCCAAAACAATGCTGAGGAAAATTAAAATGGCCCAGTAATCCACCGTCCACAACATAATTTTTTCTGTTTTGCACAGAAAAAATTTCACACAAATTGTTAATAATTGTTCTTTATTATTTATTTTTATATTATTATTTAATCGTTTATTAATTTCCCGTAGGGCAAGTTATAGTAATGGCAAAAAAATCGAAAATAAAAATTTTTATATATCTTTAAGTTTCAAAGGTTTTTGAATATTTTGGCATACCTTAGAAAAAATGGATGTATGTGTGTGTGTGTATGTGTGTGTGTGTGTGCGGATACAAATTTTTGTCGACGATTTCGGGAACACCGATCAACCGATTTAAATAATTCAAAAAACATTCGATTCGTACTGATAAAGAGACGTGCTGATTAGTTTTTGGCGGGGGCAGGTCTAGCCGTTCCGAAGATACGGGGCAAAAAGTGCCAAAAACGGTAACACAGTTTTTAAGAGAACAAAGCGTTCGATTTTAAAAATTCGAAAAACATTTTATTTGTATTAACAAGATGAAGAACTGATCAAATTTTCATGAAGGCAGGTCTAGCGGTTTCGGAGTTCTTTTACATTTGATCTTAATAACTAAAAAAATATTTAAACATAAAATGTTCAAATGTTTATTTCGGAAAAAAAAATCTTTTTCACTAAAAAATAATCAATGTGGTTACTCAATCAATCAATTGATTTTAAATTTAACAAATAATGAATAAAATTAAAATAATAAATTTATCTAAACCTGGAATTTTATAAATTAAAAAAATATTTTGTCTAAAAAAACTCAACGCCAATCAACGCTAATCAGTAGTTCTACACCAAACGGTATACGCTTAGCGCTGTTAGAAGAGTGTGCCTCTTCGATTCGTGTAAACTCGTGGTTGATTCGGGTTGGCTTCGGATTTTTGTTTCCATGGCAACGTTTTTCTGTGCAATTTTTCTAAATTAATTTTTCACCATTGGTAATTTACACATTGACCGAACAAGTTCTACTAGTGTTTTTAAGTGTTTTGTGATGGATTTTCATAGTAAGCTACCACACTATATATATATATATATATATATATATATATATGATAAAAATTGTTTCTTGGGCATCCATCCAATAATTAAAAAAACAGTTTTAATGCAAAATGTTTTAATTAAGAGAACATACGTTTCAGGCACTGAAGATGGGTCAAATCTGGACCTGAAACGTATGTTCTCTTAATTAAAACATTTTGCATTAAAACTGTTTTTTTAATTATTGGATGGATGCCCAAGAAACAATTTTTATCATATTATTTCACCATCTGAAGAAAAACCTCTCGCTTTATATATATATATATATATATATATATATATATATATATAATATTACTTAGTATTTAATTTTTTCTTCAATACATTTTAGCATTGAATGTTATGTTTTATAAATATTACTTTGATTTTTTATAATTTTCAAAATATAGAATATAAAATATAGAATATATTTAATATTCATTATTTATTCATCCTTTGTGTTCACGTTCTGTGATGTTTTGTGGTTTGATTACAGTTGACGTCCACACTTAAATTGAATGTATTTTTAGAATTCAAAAATGATGAAATGAACAATTATTATTATTTTATCTAAATAGTTGAATCTCAATTTTTAGTGATTAAGATGATTATAGTTACGCATTGGGAGGTTCATGCAGAAATTGAATTTACTTTTTGTACAATAAAGCAGAATATTATTGAGTTCAATCAAATTATTTTGGACAAATCAAATTATTTTGGAGATCGATGCAGTTATTTTCGAGAAAGCTGGGTGAAAGGCTAAAATTGCGTTCACATACTTTTTGGCATTGTCCCAGTAAGCAAAATTATTAAAAAATCAGTCAAAACATATAATCTGTGAATTTAGTCGCATGCATTTGAATTATGTAGTTCATATAATAAACTTATAATTTAAAATAATTGATTTTTTTTATTTACCTGTACAAATTGGCTATCATTTAAAAATTAATGTTTTTTTAAGTTAAGAATAGTGAAATTTTTCATAAATGAAATTAATATGATATGTTTTTCAAATCATTAAAATTAAAGCAAAACACTAGAAAAAATAATATATTTTTAGGAGTACTGATTTTAAGTAGTTCTATTAAGTGATCTGTATATAAACAATAATCATTTACAATTCTTTGTTTCAGGTGATAGACTATTGGACATACCATGTAAAGTTTGCGGTGATAGGAGCTCTGGAAAGCATTATGGCATATATAGTTGCGATGGTGAGGATATTATAATTCGTACATTTTTATGGTAATAGATTATCCTAGTGATCTGAATAACGTAATAATCCAAAGGCTTAGTTGCGAATAATATTTATTCACTCGTTTTGTGTGTATTACAATAAGCTTATTCTTGCTAATTTAGTCATAAGCTAGTACTGTTGAAGTTAAGATATGAAATCATGAAACCATATTTTTAAATTAAGTTTAACTTCCCATAGAGTTATAGTAATTACAAAAAAAATGAAAATTGTTACATATGTTTACATTTTAAAGGTTTCTGAACTTTTTTGCATATCTCAGAAAAAGTTGATGTATGTATGTGTGTGTGCGTGTGTGTGTGTGTATGTGTGTGTATGTGAGTGTGTGCGTGTGTATGTGCTGATAAAAAAATTCGTCGACGATTTCGGAAACACGGATCAATCGATTTGAATAATTCAAAGAATATTCGATTTGTATTGGTGAGGAGTCGTACTGAATAGTTTTTGGCAAAGGCAGATCTAGCCGTTTCAAAGATACGGGGCAAAAAGTGCCAAAAATGTTATTACAGTTTTCAAGAGAGCGGAGCGTCTGGTTTGAATGATTCAGAAAACTTTTTATTTTTATTGACAAAATGACGAAAATCTGGTGAAATTTTTGAGAAGGCAGGTCCAGCGGTTGCGGATATCCGATAAAAAAAAGGTAAAATTAATTCTATTTGGCGAAATTCTATTCAATATGCACATCATATTATCAGATATTTTACAGATATTATGATTATAAGTACAAATTTTGAGGACATTTATATAGTTACGTACCAATGGTTACACGTTGGACTACGACGCGGCGCTTACGCGCTTCGATAATTTTGACTCTAAAACAGCTATACAGCGTGGTTTGCTTTAAAAAAACGTTCACAATTTTCAAAGAAATCTAAATATAAAAAAATTCAAATTTTTCGTAAATCATTTTTTTCGAAAATTTCATAATTCATTAAATATGTATATTTTTTTAAATTATGTTTTTGGTGCGGAAAGTTCTAGCAATTTGCCTTAAGGCACGATGCTATGCACTACTAGGTTTAACATAAGATTCTCTGTTTTTTTTTTTCATTTGATGCAGCAATAAAAATTTTATGGATGTATGATTTGTATGCATTTAATTATTTCAATTAAGCCCGCGAATGTGACAAACTATTTATGTGGATTAATTGAATTTGTAAGATAAAGCGTTTGTGTTTGTAGGATGTTCTGGGTTTTTCAAGAGGAGCATCCACCGAAACAGAGTATACACGTGTAAGGCGGCGGGCGAATTGAAAGGGCGATGTCCGGTTGACAAAACTCACCGGAATCAGTGCCGGGCTTGTCGCCTGGCCAAGTGTTTCCATTCTAGCATGAATAAAGATGGTGAGCAATAATATTCATTTTTATACTAATATACAGGGTGTGCTTGACATTGACGTCAAGGCGAAACGGGGTGATAGTATTGACCTTAACTGTCGTGAAAAAAATTAGGAAAAAAAATTTTTGCGTTATTTGGAAATTATAGGCTTTTGGAAATTACGAACTGAATCTGAGTAAAATGTACTAGCAACAACCGTGTGATTTTTAGGTTTTCATTTTTTTACTAAACATTATTTATTAATAAAATTATCATAATATGCGCCAACTTTTGATGAAACTTGCCTCTCAAAGTCAACCGATTTAAAAAATATATATAGTTCAACAAAAAGCCCTAATTCTTGAAAACTTGAAGAGTTGTGTTATTGTTTCTGATAGTGCGTGCTTCTAAAAATGTTATTCACGGTTACGGTTTTGGAGTTTAAATGAACAAAATAGTACAAATTAACCAAAATAACCGAAAAATAGTTATAATTTTACCAAAGCTCTAGGTGGCACTTAAAAGCACATAATTTCTACACAACGTGAGATTTTTTTTTTCAAATTTTTTTCAGAAGATTTAAGGTCAATTGTTGATATTTTATATCATACAAAATATTTGAAAATTAATAATAATGAAATACAAATGGCACCTGATATTTATATTGGTCGACTTACAAAATAAATATATGTAATATAGTATTAAACGAATGTTGAGAGATAATTACTACTTAACCATATTTTTATTTTTTGCGTAATGATCTGATTTTACAGATGTTTTCTCTTATATCGGGAAATAACATAACGTATATTTTATTTTTATTATTTCGCAGAATTGTTATACTAAATCGGATTGTTTGTTCATCCGATGTTATACGCGCCTAATAACACAAAAGGGTCTGTGATAATAAAATGAAATATTAAAAAACGCGCTCGTTTTTGTTTTTACGTGTTCGATATGGTTTTACAGGTGTTTTCCCGTGCAACAAAAACATAACCAGAATATAAATTTCTTTTGTTTGCTTTTATTTAACATTTTAATGTTGTGTTTTGTATGATGCCAGAACAAGCATTCACGATATATTATTAATATGGGGACCTAAATAACTGTGCATGCTGGTTTGCGGTCTATGTTTAGTATTTTTATATATTTGTACGACAAACAATATATTTATCTGCAAAACGTTTTTACCGCGGTAGTTCTGATGAAATATCAATAGCTGGGAGCAACAAGCACATCACATTCGCGAGTTGCATTCGGCTCAGCTTGTTTTTATATATATTTATATAAATATATATTTATACAAGCTTTCCATATTTCATTCTTTTGTTTATATTTACACGTGTTATTTTTAGCAAGTTAGCAATTAAAAATTGATTCCATTTTTAAATTAAATTCGAGCGAAATTACATTATGACATTAGCATTCTCATTAAAGTATTTTTTAAATATTCTAATAATAAATGCGTTCTAATTAAAATTCTAATTTTAAATACGTTTCAGTATGAATAAACGTTGAAGACCAATATAAATGTCATATTGAAATGATATTCGTCTTCTATTTCTGTGAAATATGTTAAGAGCCTAAGAAATAGATAAAATAACATAGGTATAATTAGTAATAATATAATTAGTACTCACGATAGATTAATTATCATTTCTCATTCAACTTTATTTTTTCATCGTTTTTAATTTATTTTTTCACGTATCTTAGGAATATTTATTTTATTTTTGATGGATAGAATTGCTGATATTATAATTGATAATATTGATTTATTATTATTTATAATTATTATTATTTTTTATGCCTATTTCATAATACTGGTGTTACTTTATTAATCAGTTATTTCGTGGAATAAAATTAATTTGTTAAAAACTTGATTTAAATCACAACAACTAATACATCAAAACATAAGCAATAACTCCTATTGGTTATGTATCGTGATGGCTACATATTATGCAATTCTACTATTTCGAAACTTATTGAGTAGTGATTACAATAGATATTTTACTATGATTAGAATATTATTATTATTATTAATAATAATATATAAACAGAATAATTTAACATAGTTTTCTTTTTAACATATTGGCAAACACAACTCATGACAAATAAGTGAATTTGAATTTGAGCAATTATATTGCGAAACCCAAACCAATTATATCACAACAAATAACACATATTAAACAAACTATATACAGAAAAACTTCCAGCTAATTCATCATTGTAGAAATGTGTTATTTATTTCATATGTGGGGAAAATGGTACAGCCAGGGAGCAAACAGCTCAAATTTTTAATTTTGAAGAGACTTTACGAAATAATAGATACATAATTCAACCAACGCAAAATATAAATATAAAATAAAAAATATAAAATATAAAAAATTGCATGGGTACATTTTTTCAGAGATAATACTCTGTGTAATCTTGATCTGATATTTCGTTAGAAATACTTATCAGAAGAGTTGAAATAACTATTTATTTAATTTATCTCTTGTAAAATTGCTTTTTTAACTTAATTTACTTTTTTATTTATTATATTTTATTGTTGACACCTTTGGCAAGGTAAATGTATAGTTGTTTTTTTACCCAATCTACATGTAAGATTTTATAAACGTAATATAAAAGAACTATTGAATCTAACTCAAAATTACAATATATCTTATAAAACTTATAATACTTAAAAATTATATTAAGGTATTGTAAACTGAATAGCAGTGTAATTTTAGAATATCACAAATAGATAGTATGTAATATATGTGTGGTTCGTAGACTGGTTGAAGATATAAACTTCTTATTATCTTATTATATATTATATCTTCAACTTGTCTACGAACAACGCATATTATACACACTATCTATTTGTAAGTTTTTTAAATTAGTATTTTGTGAATTATTGTTTAAATACAAGTTTAATTTTTATATTACATAGTATAGTGCATTACCATATCCTGATACTGGATTATTAAAATTTTCTAATTCAACACTAAGATTAACTAATTTTTCCACTGAATGAGGACTAGGATTATAGCCGAAACGTATGGACGTAAAATAAATTTTTGAAAGAGATTCATATTGATGTTATGCGTTATTACTAGACTTTGTTAATATACATATATATATATATATATATATATATATGTAAATAATAATAAAATTTCTTAAATCGTAAAGATTATCAAAATTACCCTTGGCCGATTATAAAAAGTATTTATCTAATTCGAATTATAGCGTGAAACGACATTATTCACCCTCTATCCAGGCGTCCAACATATGTTATGATCATTTATAAATGATCGTACAGTTGCACGAATATTCCGTTCACTTTTCAGCCCTATGTTACGTTCGGCCACCGCAATTAGATACGCACTTCATTTATCTGGTATAACAAATAAACCCCCCAGTAATATGTGTAATAATTATATATCAAGTGGGCGTTGTGATAAGCGTTCTTCATAATAAAATCCAAAACAACAAACTTTCAAATAGGGTAGACTTTAAATGTCCGCGGGTACAAAAGTCCACTGATATATCAAAGATAAAAAAAATTTAAAAACAAGATTTGAAAGTAGAATCAAATAGATGCATAACCAACCAACACTTTGATTCTTACGGCGTTGCTATCTGGAGATAAACGACAATGCTTGAAAATCCATAACAAAAGTATTTTCTTTTGTTGTTATTTTTTTTATTGTGAGCACTGCTGTTTAATTATCAAAACCTTAATATAATTTTTAAGTAAAGAGGACCAACTGAACCTTTACCCTGGATAAGGTGTAAAGAATGAAAAATAGAAAATAAAAAAGTAAATTAGGTAAAAAAAATTTGCCAAAAATAAAATAAATAAATACTTATTGGAACTCTGTTGATAAATATTTTTGACGAAATACTACATCAACGTTATATGTGGTGTTATCTCTGTCAAAAATGTGCTCATGAAAGTTATATTTTGCATTAGTAGAATAATGTAATTATTTCATAAAATCTTTTTAAAATCAAAAATTTAACATTAGACCTGTGTGCTCCCTGGCCGACCCATTGTACCCCTATGTGGTAAAAAGGACCAATTGGCATTTTTTTTAAAAAATAGCAAAAACCCCACATTTTAACAATGATGCTAGGAATTTTACTGAATGTAGTCAAATAGTTGTTTGTTTGATATGTGTTATTTGTTGTGATATAATTGGTTTGGTTTTCACAATTTAATTGCACAAAATCAAACTGGACCTTTGTGCTCTGTTCTACTCTAACTGCTCTATTGTAATCACCTACATTTTATTTGGTTATTTACCTATTTTTACTAGAACTGTCGCTGCATCAAATCTTATCTTATTTTTCATAATATCTAAAACAGAAATTGGTATATAGGATTATTATTTTTTGAATAATTTTAATTCGGGGTTTGCGAAGAATTTCAATTTTGTGCTTTAGCTTTTGTAGGTCTTTTTTTTAATTGCACTACATACTTCGACACGTATAAATTCGTGATATCTAGATTTTTATTTTTTTTAATTTTTGTAAAACATACTAAACTTCATAAGGCTCGTAGCATATGGTCTACTAATTTCAATTTTGCCAATTGATATAAATTTTATCAAATGCAACAATGCTGTTTAATTACAATGTTCAAATGAGACATCCAGTATTCGAAATGATTATAATGCATGAATAAATGTACTTTGAATTTGCTCTAAAAATGAGCTAATTGGTTGCATCTTATCGGCCAGTAATTTTATTTCATATGCAGATTTCGTTAATCCGTTTGTAAGCATTTTGATCTTGTTGGATCTTTGCGTTTGTTCCCGAAAACGCGTCAGACGCACCGAGGCCCGCATCTCAAACACTTCGAAATTAACTTGCGAATCAAGAGTTGCCGTCGCCCCATCTTTGCCCAGAGTCAATACACCGAAATCTCCGTACATTAAGTTTAAAGCGACTGTTAAGTTTATAGATAAGTTTCTTGCAGTGTTTGTACACTTTTCGACATGAATTTGAATCCCTAATGCCTTTATATTCTAGAGAAAGT